GGAGATACATCAGCATAGCCGTATCTTTTTCATTTCTGACGACCGTAGTTAACGTTTTGAGCGATGTGATTTTTTTTTTGTGTTGTTCAAATGAATGTGTTATGTAGCATACATTGCCCGCGCTTGAGTTTTACTTGACCTAAATTAGAATCCTAGCAGACAGTAACGTCTGTTGTGGGCGTGGCCTAGTCCTTTGATGTATCTTGTTTGCTATCGGCTTCCAATCACACATTGGGTAGTATGTCTCCTGGTAGTTTCTGGAATGTGCTCGATTACCCGAGAAATGTAAACAACACGACATAAGTCTTTTCTGGAAGGCAGGGCTTACGCGACCTATATAAGGGATTGACTGGCACGGACGGAGAGACGGAGATTCAGATAGAAATTATTAATTTTACGAGACGTGTATTATTCTTTGTGAATTTGTGTGCTCATATGTGTTTATTTCGCATTTCATCATTATTCATTGGCATATTATTCTAACTGTGTTAACTGTGTACCGGTACAAGATCTACCATACTGTAAATTGAAGATTGTCATTATATTTTCTTTTCTTGTGTTATTATTTTAAGACTTAATAAATCTTAATTAATTGTAACTGGCAACTGTTTTGGGTGTCGCATCTTTAATATTGTTGACTCTATGGTATCGTCCTTTGTTAGACACTGCTTACAACGAGCCAATTAAAATTAAAATAGGAGATTAATTTCTCATATTAGAAGCCAGTGCGTAACAAATGCCTGCTCTTTGTTCCAGCAATGTTAAACTTATTTTTTAATTTTTTTTTTAAAACATATTTTAATTTCCAGACCTGGTTCGGAAAGCTAAAAGTTCATCAGTGCGCCATGGAATGCCTAAGACACACCAGGTGCCAGTCGTTTAACTACCAGCAGGCGTCCGGTCAGTGCGACCTGAACAACGCTTCCCACACCGACCACGCGAACGACCTGGTTGATGAGCAGAACTGGGAGTACCATCTGAGGACCAGTTTCTCAATCGACAAGGTGAGAGGTGGTTTTGTTTGCATCGCGGGGGGGGGGGGGGGGAGGGGGAATGAAGAATGCAAGTGTTGATCTAGGCACGTCATTACTTTTCATCTACAATGACAAACACTTAGTTATAGTTTTTTTTTAAAAAGGCTTCAACCCTTTATTGCAATGATTGTCAACGGTTGAAGTCCTTTGCCTGGATGCTATTGACCGGTGTTCGAGTCTAGGTCTCTTTCACAATATTTGTTCTGCTATTTTTTTTGTTTCGATTTTATTAAAAAAAATTTTAATGCTAAAATTTCGGCAGGGAAGATGGTCCTTCGGTTTTTTTGGCAGCTGACAGTTTCGATACACTTAATATAATAAACATGGCTTAAGTATCATGTGTATTGTTTACATGTTACGGGTTTCCTGATTGAAGGGCAGCAACATCAAGGAACGCCTCACAAACTCTTGCAACTTCTATTAATACATTATAAAGATATTCACTACTCACCGTTAACGGTAAAGGTTTATTTTGTGAACAGTATCTCATTACTTGTGTAGCTGAAGATTTTAGTTAAGACTTTGAACGCAAACAAGAGAAATAGTGTTAAAATTAAAACACAAAAAGTTGTATTTCTTAAACAGAATTTATTTTAAATCAATTAAGATCTTAAAAGTTCTCATGAATAAGAAATGTGTAAAAATCACTTCAACAAAAAATTCTATGGGTCATTAAATACATATTCAACAGTCCAGATAATTTTTATAACTAAACCACAGATCCATTTTCCCCATACTTGTAGTTACTCAAATTATTTATTTTTTGTTTTTGCGTTTGCTTTGCTTTGTGAATCTGTCTTATCCAAATTTGATTTGATATTTGGTATATCTTGTATTTCTCCACCTGTTTCTCTTCGCTGAGCAGTGTGCCGCCAAGTTCATTAAAAAGTATAACGCAACTTTAAAAAAGAAATACGCCACGACATGATGGGCAAGAACAATTTTTAAAAAATATTAAGTTTATGACGTACTCAGAGTAAAGTTAATTTTGAAATTTTTTGACTGAACAACAATATCGGGATTTGGGTTTCGATCCAGTGCGGTTAGTACTAAAATGCTATAGAAATATAAACGAGTACGCTACGAATCTTTTAGAGTTTTAGAACATTGTAACTCCTACACAAACATACAAATCACGTTCAATTTTTTGTAGTTAAGATAGTTCTATACTTGTTTAAAGATGATTTCTGGGACGTGTCTAAACTTAATTTTGACCTTTGAACGCCACATTCATTTTCCGTCTTTTTATACACTGACAAACAATTTATGCAAACCAAGAAACGAAAGGTTTGAAATGTGTCAACTTAAAAAATCTGTCCTCGCCATAAATTGTTAAATTTAAGAGCAAACCACTTTCTTGACGTCACCACAGCAAACCTCTTAGTTTAATCATTGGAGTCTTTAAAATGATCTTTTATCATGTGATCATCAATTACCACACATACATTCCGATGTGAAACCTAACCTTCACACACAAGTGTTCACTTCACCTCTACATAATGAACACTTTTCCCGCCAGTCTGCTTAGCTATAACTTCTCCTAGAAGTCTGTTCCCATAAATACAAGACTATTTTTTTTTATAGTAAACTTGAAACACAGTCTATAAACTCAACACATACATGAAATTAGAAAGCATCATTTCAATAAAGTTTGGTTACGAGCGACCAGCAGTGTTGGTGGATGATTTAGCTTGGAGGAGAACTGGGACCGTCAGCTGCGAGGATTATTCTGGGTCGACACATGTGGATAACTTGCCGAATTCTGGAAACCAAGGAGCGGGCAATACGTTATTAACGGTCAATATTTGAGTAATGGTCAACACCTAATGGTCAATATTTGAGTAATGGTCAACACTTAATGGTCTATCTTTCAGTAATGGTCAACACTTCATGGTCAATATTTTAATAATGGTCAACACTTAAAGGTCAGTATTTTTGTAATGTTTAATAGTGATTGTAAATTAGACGTCCAAGATACAAGTTAAAAGCGGTCTTTAGAAATATGGAACAAGTAAAACGTAACACATTTTAGCTGGATATCAATTCAATATATAACTAACAGGACCAAGTACGTATATAATAACGGTATGAAACAAATGCGCTTTATCTCAGTACTACTTGCGCTCATTATAATTCAGCATTCTCTGTAGAGATTGAGATGCTAAACGCTATATTTGAAATAAATTCTTTACATTCACTTTCGTTCGTGGCTGACTGACTCGGTGGCAAAATCTTCGGACAGCGAATGGATCCACTTCCCGTCAACGTATCCAGCTGAAACTCGGCACATAGACTCAATGCCGATGACAATATATTTGTTCAAGTTTTAAGCCCATACCCTACCCCCCAAACATCCGTTTATTTTATTTTTCAAGGGGAAGATCAAATGAAATCGCCAAAAACTGCGTTGTACGAGATTCTTTTTTCTTTTTTTTTTCTAGTGCGTTTGGTGCGTTTGGTGCGTTTGGTGCCTAATATCTTCTTTTGTTTTTCTGAAATAGTCAATGAAATAAAGTTGCAAAATAATAACGGGTGAGTCATTAGAATATGAATAGAGTTCAGGGTCGTGAAAAAAATTGTTCAATTGCTAGCCTTTTTTTTTTTTTGGTTGGAGGGGGTGGGGGGTGGGGAGTGCAGGGCACTAATTGGGATCCTTATAAAGTGCTTCACTTGTATGCATGCTTTGTCAAATGGTCAGACCTACCTACCCTCCCCCCCTCCATTGCTAGCCTTTTTTTTTTTTTTGGTTGGAGGGGGGGGGGGGTGGGGAGTGCAGGGCACTAATTGGGATCCTTATAAAGTGCTTCACTTGTATGCATGCTTTGTCAAATGGTCAGACCTACCTACCCTCCCCCCCTCCCAACACCAAATTGCTCGATATTACGTTTTTATAAAAGATTTATACGCAAAACTTTCTATTTATGGCGTTGTTTCATTTCAAAGAATTCCATTTTGTTTGTAGAATTGATCTTCAGATTGCATTTGTAACTCACATTAACCATTCATTTTCGCGACGGTGACGCAAAATGTAAAAAGCCGTCTTTTAAAAAAAATCAGCCACCTCGCAGTTGAAAAAAAAAATATGTCGCCGTGCGTCTACTTAATTATACGGATGTGTCCTCCTCAAATGTAGCTTTTGGCCACTCGCCTCTTGGTCTCGGGTACGACGGCAACATCTTCTTCAGGGCCGCCGAGATGAGTCGGTTCTTGTCGTTGTGCTCCAAGGAGATGATGCTGCCCCTGGCCTTGTTCACGGTGGACGCCAGGTGGTCGGTGGGGATGTGCAGGATGTTGCAGACGCGGGCGATGACCACAAAGTATCGGTCAATCTCCCCTTGTCCGTCTAGATCCAGCAGCTGGGTGATATCGTCCTCGTCGTCCCAGTCCATCGATTTGAAGTAAGGGTGGGACTTTGTTTTGCGCACAAAGAAAAAGTTGGGAGAACATCAAGAACTAACAAAGTTATAATAGTTTACAAAATTGGTGTATGTTTTGTCAAGAGGGTATTCGTTGGAAAGTATTATAGAAACAGAGATCCTGTCAGATTGAAAAAAAAAAAGAGTAAAATATGCAATAAGAAAAGTTCAAAGTATTGAAGAGGCGTGATTGGAAGTATAGGGAGCACCTAACTAATCGATCGATCCACATATTTTCGTGGCAAAAAGCTCCATGGCAGCATAAGAAAGAACCATTTGAAACATTTTAAAGTCTATCTGAAATTTTGGCATTGTAACATTGTTGCCTGGACAACACACTTCCTGGAATTCCACAACCCAAAAGCAACAACTAAAGAACTAGATTTTCACCGTCGAAATTCCCCGCAAATAACAAATAAAATGGTTAACATTGGGTTAAGAAGCAGATCTTTTCAGTAACTGAACAATAGACACCATACTGTAATTTTTCCGTTTACCTCTAATCAGGCACGTGGCACGACTTTATCCGCTTCTGTTTACCTGTAATTACCTTTATTTCGATCACCTCGTTTTCAGAACCTATTCGGAGTCTAGGATCTTTGACAAGGAGTTTCTGACACAAATCTTTAGCATGCGGATCATCAAACAGCCATTCAGGGTACTTTTCCTTGAGTTTTGTCACGGACTGGTAACTGTGTTAACGACAGATTCAAAATTCGAAAAAAAAAAATAAATAAATAAAGTAAGTAAAAAATATCCTGCTCAAATAAAATAAGGAATACGTTATGAAACGTTATTCCATAAGAGAGTTACTTGCTATCGAATGAGGGAGAGGTTATGGTTGGGGAGAATATTTCACCAGAGAGGGGAACAACAACAAGGCAACAAGGATATCTTTAGAAGCACATGCATCTTTGCATTTTTTAATGTCTCTTTTTGTAAGAATAGAAAATGTTCCGTCTAGATTTTGGTCTGTTTATTTAAGAAATACGTATGCAGGGTAGTCAAGTAAAATTATTTTAACTTGGTAGTTTTCTTCTCAATATGTTTTTTTTTTCAATCATGTTATTCCATTAGTCTAAACTCAAAAAGACCAAAAACAATTACACGTTATGTGGAAATGTAATTACGATGATATATATTATATTTCCCTAAAGCTTGCCCTTCCCTGATTTATAAACTATACTAACTAGACCAGCAGTTCTCAACCTTTAGGTCGCGACTCCTTTGGGGTCGAACGACCCTTACACAGGGGTCGCCTAAGACCATTGGCAAACATATATTTACAAAGTAGCAACGAAAATAATTCTATGGTTTTGTTGGGGGGGGGGCACCACAACATAAGGAACTGTATTAAAGGGTCGCGGCATTAGGAAGGTTGAGAGCCACTGAGCTAGGACAAAGCTAAAACATGAAACGGTTACCCCTCGGTCAGTTTGTCTGTACGGAATGGGTTGTAGCCTGTGATAAAGCGATACAACATTACGCCAAAGCTCCACCAGTCAATGGCCAGCCCACACGGCCTGTCCAGGTATATTTCAGGGGCTCTCACCGCTGGCTTTCCGCAGTCGGTCATTATTTCCCCTTGTGGTTCGTCTATTGTCCGGCACAGACCGAAGTCAATGAGTTTCAAGTGGGCTGTGAATGACATTGGTAGACAAGTACATTGATGACACTACTCTAAACTGACAAATAAACGTCGTGGCTACTCCACAATAATTCTGTTCTTCATCAAAATAATGCACGCTCCTTATGTTTTTTTTTCGTTTTCTCATGAAAATGATTTGCAAGACTTGTGTTAATTTTTTTTTTCAAATTATACATTGGGCCATTGGGACAATTTAATTCTTTTAATTCTTCTTGCAGGTCAACTCTTTTTCTCATGATCTTCTTTGCAGCTTTATTATCTCTGTCATGACTTCCTGTCAGTTTACTCCTTCCTGGCATGAAATTTCTGTCAGTTTAATACTTTCTGTTATGTTATTCTGGTCAGTTTCATTCTTTCTGTCATGTTCCCCTTTACATTTTAATTCTTTCTGCCGTCATCTTCCGGTCGGTGCAGTTCTTTCTGTCAACTACTGTCTGAAAGATGTATTTCTTCCTATGACAATGTTGTGAACATTTCATTTCTGCCTTAGGATAGCCTGTCACGTTCAATTCATCGTGTCTTAATCTGATGCTATTATCCTGATAAGCGACGATTATTTTGTTTTTTTCCACTTCCTAGCGATTTATCCACTATCAAATAATTTACTGAGTCATGTGCTAGCGATTTATCCACTATCAAGTAATTAACTGATTCATTTCCTAGTGATGTATCCACCATCAAATAATTTACTGAGTCATGTCCTAGCGATTTATCCACTATCAAGTAATTTACTGAGTCATGTGCTAGCGATGGATCCAATATAAAGTAATTTACTGAGTCATGTCCTAGCGATGTATCCACAATCAAATAATTTACTGAGTCATGTCTTAGCGATGTATCCATTATTATGTAATTTACTAAGTCATGTCCTAGCGATTTATCCACTATCAAGTAATTAACTGATTCATTTCCTAGCGATGTATCCACCATCAAATAATTTACTGAGTCATGTCCTAGCGATTTATCCACTATCAAGTAATTTACTGAGTCATGTGCTAGCGATGGATCCAATGTAAAGTAATTTACTGAGTCATGTCCTAGCGATATATATCAACCGTCAAGTAATTCACTTAGCCATGTCCTAGCGATTTATCTATTATATAGTAATTTACCGAGTCATGTCCTAGCGATCTATCCACTATCAAGTAATTTACTTAGACCTTACCTCGACTTGTGAGCACGCAGTTAGCCAGGTAAATGTCTCGATGAACGATCCTCAGCTTGTGAAGGAAGAAGATGGCCAGAGCAAGTTCTTTCAAGTAAACCCTATAGGAAAACATTCCATTAGGTGACGTTAAAATGTCTCAAAAAAAGCATCCCTATCAGCTAAAAATAGACTCGATAGGTTTCCTTGAATGTCGCACGCGTTAATCGCTTTTACATCTAATAATAAAATCCAAATTCATATCACTTCAGATTGGTGACATCGTGGAGACAGCGTGTTTTAAATACAAACGGGCTAACATATTTATGGTTAAACTGATGTGCACCATTGACACCTGTTTCATCTCATCTGTTCTATATCCCATAGAGGGACATTTCACCCCCGCCTGTGGTATGTAAAGACCAGGATAGTAGAGCCCAGGTCATCCAATCCCTCCCATGAAAGCGACCCATCCATTTACATTACCGTGCTAATTTTGGCGGCATGCTGTGCTTGGGTTCCAGCAGGTCCATGAGGGTCCCTCCTTCACACAGCTCCATCACAAAGTACATGTTAGAACTCACCCGGAAGTGGGAGTGGTAGCCAATCAGATGCCTGGAATAAACGTCACGACCACGAAGGCCATTAACAGCAATAACAAATAACCACCTGAGCTCGCTCTTCTGAAATATCATATTTTCCACGAATTAAAGCATGACAATAATTATTGTCAGTCATTATATCTTTATCATGGCTTAGCTATTGTCATAGTTTATGATTAGATCAATAATTATGCCATTTCTAATTGCAGCAGAACGCTATACAATATAAAAATATCTTGCCTGCATTCCGAGCTTAATTTCAAGACCGTCAACTCTCGTATGACCAGGATCTTAGATTGGCGGAAATTCGGAATGAATTTAACAGCAAATGTTTGGTTGGTGGGTTTGAAGATGGCCCTAAACACTACTCCTGTTGCCCCACTGCCTAGGATTTCTTTAAAAGAAAAGAAGTCCTGAGCCTCAAAGTTAGGGCCGCTAGCGCCTTCTGGTGAAAGACCGTATGTCGATTCGGTCAGCTCCTCTGTCATCTACAATCATTCAACGAAAGAAGTTTGTGTCCACATTTATTTAATGGCAATTCGATGATTCCATGTAACATCTGAATGGTTTGCAATCTATCGTTTTAACAAATGAATTGTCTATTATCTAATCAAATAGAAAGTTGATGATTCTAAGTAGCAACTGGTTATCTGAAATTATTATAAATCTTCCTTCTCATTAATCACATTTCTGGCAAGTTTTAGTTGAAATAATTTTTTTTTTAAGATCAAGTTTTTGATTTTTTTTTACTTCAATAAGTCTGAACCCCCCCCCCCTCCCCACACACTTTTTTCTTAAACATTGTACCTAATTCAACCGATATTTTTCCATCCCATACATTGTACACGAGTCATTTGATAATATTCCATCCCCCATATTTTACCAAAGTCATCTATTTATTCCATCACGCATATTATACCCAAGTCAACTGATATTTATTCCATCCTTACTGTACCAAAGATACCTGATATTTAATCCACACCCAAATTGTACCAAAGTCATCTGATAATTAATCCACACCCAAATTGTACCAAAGTCATCTGATATTTAATCCACACCCAAATTGTACCAAAGTCATAATGAGATGATGAATTGTATCACATTAAATCGTAACCAAGCAGCAGAGCTAATGTCCAGGCAGTTGGACATCGAGGGCCAATTGTTAGACTCAAACTTAAAAGATCCCCCACAAGAAATTCGATTGGAATAAAAAAAAAAAAAAGTAGTGGATACGCCTTCTTCAGAGGCACCCCTGCCTTTTTTCTGTTCGATGCAATTTTTTAAAATATATTTAATTTTTATATATTTTTTTGTTGTTGTAATTTGTAGGGATGGGTCTGGTACTGGTTACATTTCGTCTACTCAATTAGCTCTAACCACACTTTAAAAAAATATATATACGCCAAAAAAAAAAACAATACAAAACTATATATAAAAATAAAATACTATTGTCTCCTCTCGCCTACCTCCATCTGCAATTTGACACTCAGAGCGTTCCTCATTTTGTCGTCTTTAGCATCAAGCTCGTTGACGATGCCGTAAAAACTGGTTCTCCTCCCCTTTAGGTTGTCCCCCGTGGGGTCAGTCTTCCCGAAACAGCCTCGACAACACAACATCTTGACGCATATCCTTCAACTCTACTGCCTTTCTCAGGCTTCCAGACTCACGTCCGATAACCTCATACTTTCTTGTTGGGGAGTCATTTGTCACGTTATAAAAGTCATTAGTTTGTCTTCTGTTTGTCAAGAAATAATCATATATTTTTGTTGTTGTTGTTGGCGAAGTCTGACTGGTCCTTTCTTGTTCCTACTAATTTTGTGTTCCATATTTCATAAAGAAGAAAAGAGTTTTAAAACAAATAAATTGAATAATAATATGAGTAAGAAGAAAGTTACAATTTGTTAAATCTTACATTTGAAAAAGAAACAATGCTAGTAAATGCAAGCTTGATATGCGATGAGATTTTTTGTGCTTCATCCTGCCCACGTGAAGATGACCACGGCAATCATGACTGTACTAGTAGCCTTGAATTGAGTTGCATTTTGTTTTCAAAGGAGAGTGAGAGAGTTTGTCAATGCGTCAGCATCACTCTCTCGTCCATGCCTACTTGATCTAATGGAAAGACTCAGCCAAGATGACTGGAAATGGAACATGATGCAGTAAATGACAAGCAGTTGTCTTGTGTGTTTCACTGTGCTCTTTAGGCGCTCTACGTCGCAGGAGTTGTCGTAATTTTCAATGTCTCAACACCATACCGGAAGTCCATCTCTTGGTTTGATGTCAGAGCTTGGCTTCTCTTAGATGAGTCGCCACCCAAGGTTGACGAGTCCCACCCACCCGAGGGTGCTGGTGATGTTTCTGCTCGTCTTGGTGTTTTCTGGGGATTGATCTCGCGGTCACAAAATACGGATTGACTCCACTGAGACCGCTCAGCCACCCACTTGTAAAGATATACTATTTTAAAACACTAAAGGCATTCAAATAAAATCAAAACGGCAAGAAAATTTTGATTGTGGTACAAATATTGGAATATTTGGAGGAGCCAATGATCAGAGTCTACAATAAAAAATCAATTTGGTCCTGGGTTATTTTAAGCATTAAAAGTTAACAACTGAGCTGTAGACTAGAAGTAAAAGTGAGTCAAATGTGATTGAATTTAAAATTTACTGACGATTTATGAATTTAGATCTGTCTTTGTTCATAAGTAAAAAAAAAATAAACTTACATTAAAGATAAGAAGAATAAGTAAAGAGATTCTAAAAAGATCGCTTACCCTACTTCTTTACAAAATCTGAGAAATAATTAATTAAGCTTTTCAAAACTTCATCGCAATTTCTATCGTGTCAATATCTTTGTTATATTCATTTCCGTTTATTTAAACACTATTTTTATATCGATCGAGTATCTTATCAGTGTCTAATCACTACTCTATGCGGAAATCAGGGAAATCCCGATAAAAGATGCGCATTCCCAGATGGATGTCGTTGTTTAGTGGCTTTGACGAAACGATCTAGTCTTATGCGATATCTCGGTGTCTGACACTTATGGTAGGCCTACTAATAGATTCTAAATGTTTAAGGCCTAGTACAAAAGATACATACATATTTTCACCCAAGTCACAAATCTACATGAGAACTAATAAGTCCCTAACATGACTAAGAGCGAATGAAATAGGAAAACGAGGTATGTGGAAGCTTGAAATAAGATAACAGCACAAAAAACAAGGACGTTTCGGCATAAAGCCTTCCTCAGCCAAC